TTTGCAATCATGGTGAAAAGTGGACAAATATGTTTAATACCTTTCAAAATCATTCACAAGTAAACAAACATGGCACTAGGATTGATCCTTGAAGCACTCCAAATGGAAAAGCATTCCAATCCGACATGTAATTGTATCAAAATCTAATTATCAGGCATTTGATCTCTTGCACTTCACATAAATTCACATACCAAACATTGATACTTCAATCGCAAATACCAAATATCAGCCCTTCTTTTGATTTTATCCACTGGGTACACAATAAAGAACCTATCAGAATCTTGTTTAAAATCTACTTGCTGATCATAACTTCATAAACGACTAGTGTACCTGTTGCTCGAAATCGAGCAATTTTCAAGTACCGGTATTATACAGATGTTATTTTAAAACTACAGTAATAACGGTCATAATTTTCGATGAGTTAAAAAGGCCCGACTAAATACATAATTGACTAATGTAACTAATTGAAATACTCACGCTATAGCACTTTGAAATAATAAACGCTTCTTGTAAAAATATTTTAGAACTTTTTGGACCCAACCTTATTTTTTAGTGTTTTTTACACGTTTCCCAACTTAAAGCTATTATTACCAGTAAACATTTATTGCGTGTATTTATTTGATCTGACTTTAGGTAGGTTTACTTAACCACTGTGACAACACGAAGTGTCCATATTCTTCATGTTTTTTTTACTTCTAAAAGGTTGCTTAGCATAACTGGAAAAAATGATTCATCTCCCCAAGTGATTGTGTACCTGGATTCCTTACTGTGAGATCAGGCCTCTCCTCTACTCTTCTCATACGTATAAGATTTCCTATTAATTGTCTCATCCTCCTGTTTTCAATATTTCTCCTTTAAACTCAAGAAGTTGTCTGTTCTTCCAACAATACTGATTGACTGTTTAGATTTGTCTATAACCTCTTAAATATTACAAACATCAATATTTACTCCCAAAAAGCTGGTGAGTTTCTTTTTATATACAGCTGTTTTTGTAAAAAAAAAATTCTCGTGCTCGTGCCCTTAAGGGTAAGAGTCTTTAAATTCTAAAACCTTTATGCAAAACTACGAATTGGGACGAATTATTTGACACCTCAAACGTTAAAATCGATCCAGAAATAACGGAGGAGTTTTGTTCACAAAAACAGCCCTCACGTATTAATATAAGAGATTTTTAACCAAGAATTGTCACATTGATTGTTTATGGGTATGACGTCACCACAACAGTTTCAACCAGGTTGTAATGTAGAGCGGATATTCTGTCACTAAAGGTCCTCTAGTCGTTGAGAGTGTATCCTTCAAAGAGAATACCCAATCTATACAAGTTAAGTAAGATTTAAATCAAGTATCAGGAAGGGTCTGTGGAATGTAATTTCTTCGCGTTGCGCACGGACCGCGCCTGATTGCGCTCATAAGTCACAAGCTGTCTCTATCTCTCCCCCTTTCTCACCCCCTCTCTCTCGGTCTCTCTTGAAGGAGGTCTTTTTGACTTACTCATCCCCTCTCCCCTTCCAGTTCGACTTCTCTTCCTGGCTTATTTGATTCGAAATTGCTTCAGAGTTGTCCATGGATTTTTAATTTGTAGAACGTTTGAGGTTTGAGTTGAATATTTAATTTTACAACAGTGGAGTCACATTATATATATTTAATGCAGAACATTCTAATTTTTTTTTAATTATAATTTAAACTGTTTATGAATTTCTAGGCAACATTATATGCATTAGGTCTGTATGATGGAACCTGTCTCCTGACCCTTCGTCTACCTATGGGACCTCCCCTTAAACCATTGGTCCCTAGCTAGCCGTAGATTCAGGAGACAGGTACCATATACAGACTATAGTTTAGCCAACATCTTTTGCTAATTATCCCAGGCCAGAAACTGATTATTGTTTTGACCTAGGATTTTTTTTTTTTTTTTACTAGACTACTATACTCTGTGAGGTTTTTTGGTTTGTGAGGTTACTCAGATTTGGCCGAATTTTGTAACTTATTATGAAATACTTCCTCAATTGAAGAAAGATTTAGATCCCGCAACATTATGAAAGCTTTTCACTCTATTCGTAATGGAAATGTCCGCAATATTCCTAAATAATATAAACTCACCTACACTAAAAATGAATTTCAAAGGCGTATGGACGAGACTATTTATAAAAATAATTATATATCCTTCAATTGTTCGGTCTTATCATGGTCTCCTATAATACAAGGTCACGGCGAGGCAAAATTGGCAACGCCGCAACCCCGGCCTACCGAAACAGCAGTTGCACTAATTCGTAATGGAGCTTCAGCAAAGTGTTTGCGTTTGCAAGTTTGTTATTTCTGTTTTTACAAGGCAATCGGCCGGTGCGACGTTGCCACACCAACGCCGAGGCCTTGTATCAGAGGAGGCTAGGGCTAATACACATGTGGGCTATCAACCTATGTTTCCTTAGGATAGTTTAATGGGGTTTAAATCCATAGTATGTAGGTTTGGCAACAATGAGTGCTCGGAGAGATCGCTGCCTACTTCATTTCTGCGCTGTATTCAGTTTTATTGCCCCCAATTCCAAGTGTTCCGTGTTCGGAAAGGCCAGATGCCGCTTGCAGTTTATTACCGTGCATTTGCACTCCTGTTCGTCATCCCATTAACGGCGATTAGTTTATGGCTGCCGTAAAGCAGTTATTAATTTAGATTCGTTTTATGATTTTTATTCGGATAATTGAGACTTGGATGATGGCTAATTAGGGTATCAGAGAAATATTCGTAAACAGTTATAACTATTGTTTATGAAGTTGTTTTTTTTTAGGTTTTAGGATCACCGACTAAGAATTAATGTTGAAATGTCTGAGTTTACCCCAAACTACGGTCTAAATTTTACAAAATAAAATCCTTTAACATTGAATAGTTAAAATCATTTAAATCAGTATCAGAATCAAAATAATTTATCTGCTCTCAAAAATAAAAGATAATCGAAGTTTTTACTTCCAGTGACTAAGTTAAGAATGGAATTGATTTTTTTTTCTTTCATGTAAAATACGTCTACATTAAACCAAAAGAGGAAAAACGTTCCAATTTTTTACAGCAAAAATATTTTATATCAACAGACGTAATGCAATTTAAATATTTTTAGATTTATGTTGTTGGAACTGAAAAATTGAATTTATTTTTCTGTTGGAGTCCATGCCAAGGCTGCTAATCATAATGCACGCTCTTATGTTTCATTTGAAATTGAATCTGATAAAGTTGTTTATAATCGAATAGTATTAATATGAATTGACTGGATATAAACTATCATCACTCGATTGAGAATAATAAAAACATGTTACGAATCCAATTTAAATACTAACAATATTTACAACAAATTTCTGGTAGTCAGGCAAACATGATTTTCTATAAAATAATGTTCATAGATCTTCATACATTGCATTAATAAATTAAAAATGAAATATTGCCCAAAAGAAATTGCCACAGATTATACACATGGAACATGTTCACATTGTATTGTTACAAATAAAATTTAGATAAGGAAAATAATATAGTTTTGTTTTTATAATAATTTAATCGCAATACTATTTACAACATATAATTATAAGCGTATCAACACACATATCTAACAAGGTCTAAGGTCATTTCATTGATCAGACATACGAAGAATACACTACAATACTATTGTAGAAATACACTTACAAATTTTTGTTTGAATTACAAATAACACTTAGATTAGAATCGTTATAAGAAGGACAAACTTAAAGCTGATAGCTTATATTTAAAGTACTTACTTTACTTATTATTTTCGTTAGCAGTACGATTTTCCTTCGATATGATTTTCTAAAAAAACAGGTCGAATTAAATAGATAATGAATTTTGGTAGTTTATTTTATCATAATACAATTTTTATATTCACTTCTATAGCTTTTGATATTTTCTATACCATAGTAGTCAACTGTAACTTTTGTAGAACATTCCAAAACTGACAAACAAACATTTAAATATTACTCAATAACATTTCATTAAACTAAGATGGTGAATAAAGAATCCAAAATATATTTTCAGTTATACATTTCCATACAGTTATAACTTAAAAGTTTATAATTGTTTCCTTGAATAATGGAAACTACATGATTATATCAAATTGACGCGCACTTTTTAATAAATATTAGAAGAACTACCTTACTATAATAATTTACAAAATTCACATTCATTAACTATTTACATATTAAATACAAGTATTAACAAATATTTAGTGAGACACAACACATAATATTAACTACAGTAATTCTATTATGTTCATAATGTACACTGTTATGAGTTACCCCATACTGATATGTTTTATATTACATTTTTTCACCAGGACAGAACCGACATTTGTTTACACTATTAGTGTTTTATACATAAAAGAATTATATATGGCAACCTTATTATGTTTGAAGTACCTACGTACTCTTATGTATTTTCAGTATTGTAGATTGGTCAAATATTAATATTATAAAATTTTATCTTATGGAGTTAATGAAATTTTTATCAAATTCATAGATTATATAAGTCAAGCTATAGATTGAAAATTGTATTAACGAGTTTTCCAGTAATTTAATTTTGCAAATTTGTGGTATATATCTTTAAGCAAAGATATAACATTTTCATAATACTTATTTTCTTATTGTATCACATATTAGAAGAATTATACAAGCAACACATTTCTCTATTGACTAGTTAGTATTGGTCTTAAATTATCCGCAGATAAAATAAAAATTCACGTTAATCATTTAATAATCTAGTTAAGGGTACAGCCGCTTTTAGCATAGCATCTTCTAATACAAGGCAACGGCGAAACTTGGCAACACCGCAGTCCCGTCCTACTGTAACAGCTGATTCAGTTGCAATAGGCAGGACGGTACGACGTCGCCACACACCGGCCTTGTGTTATTGGAGGCAATGCTAAAGAAGACACGGTCCTAGAAGCATCACGATCCCTATATTGTTCGCTTCAGAACTTTTGACTATCACATTTTTCGAAGACCAGTCTCTACTCGTGGCTCACGGAAGGTACACCCGCAGCCAGGAAGTGCTGAGGGTCGTCCCCTCTGGAAGTCTCGGGGTCACTCTCCAGTTCTTGCTCCTGCTGAAGCCGTTGTTGTTGCTGCTTCAGCGCTGCCAACCTTTGTTGCTGAAGCTCCAGGTGTTGCTTTCTCCATTTTATCCTTCTGTTTTGGAACCACACTTTGACCTGGAATGAATAGAACTGTCAGAATGCGAACTGGGAAGAAATATTTCTAGCTTTACCTCTTACGACGGTTCCACCCACTGGCTGGTTCTACATAAAAGTACCTCGTGGCGTTAAAAAATGTTTATCGAGTTGAAATGAAACGTAAAATATTCACATAGATCCAAACTATGCACTGGACAAAAACTTCGTTTCTTTAAATTATTTACAAAATCATTTTGAAAATCCGTATATTAGTCTTTTTGAAATGTGATTTTAACTTCTAAATTAATAGTTAAAAATTAATTTCCCCCCATCCATTGAAACCTGTGATATGTTAAGAGCACAAAAAGCACACAATAATTAAAAACAAACTAGTTTTAGAATGTTGAGAATTTTTATAATAGAGGCTTGTTCAATCCCGAACTATATTTCAATCCAATTCGCCATCTTGAATTGAAATTAAGGCTGCTGGGTAGAACCTTTGACTATTAGTACAACAACTAGACATTCCATCCCCATGTTAAAGCTGTAGCTAGGTTTTTAATCAAATTTGGTAGTTGATTTGAGCCACCTACAGATTGCGCTGATCTAAACTACTGATTTCTGCCGTTTACACTATTGTTTTTACCAAGTCAAACTGATGGAATGACTTATTATGAGCTATAGCAACTGTTGTGACCCAGCAACTATGTCAGTAACAAAAAATATGGTACAATATAGAGTTTTAGAACCCTCTTCACCGAGTTTGATATTCAGGACTTCAAAAAATTCAAGAAACTGATTTCTTTCCATTGCAGATAATACAACAAAGCTTCCTCTACGAGAAATTTACCTAATGTCTTACTTTTTGGAGAAATATCAATCTTTACACCATATTAGGGACGGCATACAAGGAGTCAGAAGGAAAACGCAAATGAGAGCATATGTCGAGAAGAACAGTATATTAAAGGAGAACATAGGTAATCAAATCTGACGGCAAAAGCGTAATCCTACCAAACATTGCAGCGATTTAAAATTACTAACATGAGCTTGTTCGGTAAAGCTTGGTTTCCACTTGTTTTACATAAAATTGTGACCCCTTGCTAAAATACTTTATGCCATACATTATTTAAAGTATATTGCAGTGTACCTGTGCTTCTGTAAGCTGCAGTGCGTGTGCCAGATAAAGTCTCTCAGGCCCCACCATGTATTGTTGCCTCTCAAACTCTGCCTCTAGTCGTTCTAACTGCTCTGGTGTGAAGATCGTCCTCACTCTCTTGGACTTGCCTCCCTTCCTTCCGCACTCGCGGTTGTCATCTGGAAATATAAGTAAGATTACCCAACGATGAACAGTTTAATTTTTTATGTGGAAAGTTGTGTTTGATCGTTTTGTGGCCAGGATCCTCTCGGTATAGTGATCAATACAAGAGTGCTCCTGAATAAGTTTTGCACCTGTCTGGAGTTTAGGGTCACTCACATATTGCTAAGGATCTGGTAATTGTTTAAAAACATTATATTAACTATTTTACGAAACGTTTTAATACACATTCCTTATATATAACAACAACGCTGTTCAATACAGGTATTTTTAAAGAGCACATACACAGATACATCAAATCGTGTTAAAAGCAATGTTTTATTATACTTCCCAATAATATTTAAGGTCCAATTCGTCTGTCCAAAACTTGTTTGAAATGTATAGTGTAGATTTTCAAAGCCTACTAAGGTAACTCAAATTATGTCCTTTTATTTCAAAAGCTATCTAGGGTGCTTGGTAAATTTACCCCAGGGCCCCAGCTAAAATTACCACAATATTTCTTGTCTGTAAAGATCCCAGAAATCACCTTTTTACTGTGTAGTAAGTGAGTATAGGTTACAGAAGATTATTTTTTCTTTAGCATAAGAAACTATCCTCAAAACACTATTTCTTATAAAGTTGCTTTTTAAACCTTCCCGAAGTGGAGTGTACATACTAACATAATTCGAACACAACTTAAGTCGGAATGACGTTTAGATTTATAAATGAAATTCTGAATCTAATTTTCAAAGAGTTGAAAACACACAAAAATTTGCAACCTTATGTTTCCACACCTTATTGTTTGAACTGGATCAATATTTGCGTAAGAGTTATTGCGTCCAATTGAATAACCTCGTGTCTTTTCAATCCAATAACCCTTGTGAACCAGTTCGACCCGGTTGTTTCCAAAGCAGGGGAGCAAACGCTGCGGTTAAACATTCGACGTTATGAATTGATGCGATAATTACAGCTGACCCCCACGTGCGAATTTTAATTATGCGTTTTATGATTTTCCAGCACATTAAGCCCTTTACACACGTACAACGTGTCCGTAGCGCTTTCATTAGTTCAACCCTTGCTTTCCGCCCCATTTCTTCCCTGCCCGCAATCGTTACATTTGCTTTTGAATTCGAACGTCTGAATATAATTAGCGTTCATTTATCTTTCGCTTATTGAACGTTATATTTCATCCCCTGGTTCTAATGGATTCAAGTGGTCGTACATCAATATTGTTATTAGACAATGTGTTCATTTCGGTATTAGGATATTGTGAGGGGTTTTTTATTTGAAGAATTGATGAATTGAAAGAGCTGGACGACTTAAAAAAAAAAAGTGCTACAGCTACAGATACTATATTCCATATTGTTTTTCTTCACATGCTTCACTCTTTCTTCACATAGGCCTACTTACGTTAAAATGCAGTTTTGTATAAACTGTAAACAAATGGACTAGTGACTAGCTAGCTATAGCTAAACACCGGTTTTGCGTCTTTTTACACTAGTACAGAGAGAAAGAAGAATGGCTCGGTTTAAACATAATTTTATATAATTCAATTGACTACCGCCCGGTCAGGTAGTAGCAGCCAAATTCACTGCTGTGGTGCTTATTGAAGTAAGCCTAAATTAAGCCTAAAATGAACCTTACCTAACCAGAACCTAAATTAAAAATTTAATTCCCCAGGAAAAATTAACTACGTTATATTACCGGCAAATTACTGTCGTGCAGAGTTGACGGGGAAAATTCCCGTTTTCCCTCTTTCGTTGGTCGAGCGGTTGTGCCAATCATGCCTTTTCCAAGGTGAATTGACCCTACTTATTTCGCTCAAATGATTGTTCAAATACTGGCGATGGACAGAAGGGCCAAAAATGTGTGCCAATCGTCCCGTCCCCATTCTGATACCGTTCTTTTCGTCTAGTGACTAACCTTTTACAGTTTTTATGTAGGTGGAAAAATACGTAAAGCTTAAGTAAAACATTTTGATGTCAAAACACCAACCATTTATCAATACGGGAAATTTAGTACTATGAGTAAATGACTAAATGAAGGCGATTTAAACATCTAAACATATAAAATCAAATATATATTTGCTTTTTTTTATGTACACTTAACAACGCCCATCCCATATATATTGGTCAACAGTAATAAATTATTCTCATACTGATCAACACAGGCCTTAAAGGTGGAATTCTCGCTGCCTATCTTCGTGACTGTATTCCACAAATAGATTTATGACTAGGTAGCGGAGTGGTCATAACGCTAATATTATAACGACATGTACAGTATATGCTGGTTCAAATCCTGTAGAGAGGTTTTGCCATGATTTTTAGAACCGAAACTGTACGGATCTTAAACTTTAAATTACGTCACTGGCCCGAATGTCTATACTAAAAACCGCAACAGCTGATTGGTACGTTACAAGGCTGTCATGTCATTAGTTCACAACTCTTTCACTCGAATTCACCTCAATTTACCACAATGTCTGCCAACATTGCAATAAATTTGAACTAATTAGTAATTCAATAAGCAAAATATATATTAACGGAGTGTCGCAGCAAACCTGCGTACTTAACGAATTACCGTTATGTGTCAAGTTTCTTTATACTATGATAAGCCGTGTATATATTTTTTCAAAATTGGTTTTAAGTTTATTTTTATTATACCACCTATCAAGTATACAGCGAGGAATTTAAAAACAAATTGGTATGAGGTTATAGAACAAGTTAATAGGACAATTAGATGAACATTAATTATATTTAAGTATGCTGTAATGTTTAATTTTGAAATTTGCCTAATGCCGTAAACAATATTCACCACAAAAAACCCATTCTTTGGACATAAAGGCAAAAGTTATGTCCAATATTACTAACACCGTGTGTTTCAATATAGCCTACTACCATCAAAATTGTATTTTTCCCAATTATCTTACTAATATTATAAATGTGAAAGTTTGTGTTTGTTTGTTTAATCGTTTGAAGTTCAATCACGCAATAACTACTGGACGGATTGGGCTGAAATGCGGCATGATGTAGTTCACATTTCCAATTAACATAGGCCCCTCAAAAATCCCATCGGGCTCCGCCCCAGTGGCTCTGTGGTTCCCCATGTTAACCTTATGAGTATTCATATTTAAAAGGAATTAAAGAATTTAGTCAGCTGTTTCAACTTAATAAGTTGTTAAAGTTTCCTAACAGGGTGCATCACTATTATTATCATTTTTTTGCATTCATGGCAACAGCTTATTTTAACTAAGCAGCAACAAAAAGCTGTGATACACAATAAGAACTGTCAAAGTAGGATTTTTTACAGTTATGTTTATGTTAATCATTTAATTAATTATTTTGTGATATTGTGGGAATGTTTTATAATTTATTTATTTCTATTGTTTAGGTGCAGTAGTAGAACATCATCGCTATGATACTACAGTATATCATACCGTAAATTTAAAGAACCAAATTTTATCTAACTGTGTCCTCCCCTATTGCAAACGCAAGGCTTAAGTATAACTGCAATAAGCATTTTGTACTTATATGCCAACCCCCTACGAAGGACGGGTATTCTGCTCGTTGATATATATTTTTGTAACTCAATTCAACCGTGATAATTTTATTGCTAAAATTGTCTACAACTTGCATGTGAATAGGATTTCTACATCAACAGTCAAAGCTAGTATACAAAAAAGCTCATGTTATACTCAAATAGAATCCAAATTAAAATCTCGCATCCACATAAAAATATTCCAACGATCGTTGGATAGCAATGTGGATCAAGCGCAGTGAATCAGCTGTGCTCGGTTCTTTATAGGATTTTCAGCGGTAATGGGCTTTTGTGCATTTTATTTGCCCGGTTTTGATAAATGATGCCCGCCGTTGCATCGTAGTGAACTTTACAAATTAGCTTTGCAATCCGCGCCATTGAACGCCCGTTGATTGGCCGCTGTGTTGTGTTAGTGTTCATTCGAAAAGTCGATTAATATCGTATATTTGTATGGTCGAGTTCAAGAATGTATGCATCGTTTTATACCACAACGAGCTGTATATTATAGGTCATTCGATAAAACTACGCAGCTCATTGTTTAGCTTGATCTTTTCGAATTGCAAATTCGATAAACTTATCAGAATCGTAATTTGCATTAATAATCGATGCAATTACTTTCGATGTACCTTTGTGATGGTGTATTTTATCATAAAATTATTGGCAGTGTATTTTAAACATTTATGTGAGTTGCCTACACTACTTTACCTACGACAGTGTTTTTACTAAAAATCATTACCCATAACCTCTAAGGGAGGTTATGTTTTCATTTATAACCTCTCATTGCTATGACACACACAACACAATGAACAGCGATGCAATGAAACATTGTACCAAACACTAAATGCAACACTCAACAATTAAATTTGCCTGGCCAGCTGATTAGTTGAAGTTCGGAGCATTACGATTTTACTTCTTCTGTATCAATCCATGAACCTCGTTGGTCCGTTACCCGTGTTGTTATTCAAAAGGAATTTTTGAAATGTTACTTATAGTTAGGTTAGGTTAGTTAAGAACAGTTTCATTTCAGAATTTTGCTATCAACCCCAAACGGGATTTTGAATTGTTACAGCAAGTTCGGTTAGGTTAGGTTAGTTTAGAACAGTTTAATTTCATAAATATTAGTTGCAGGCAGATAAAGTGAAGTTTATTCCATCCATTTCACCTAATAAGGTTAAGAGGTACTACCGTTCCTAATACTAGGTTTTCTTTGTGTGCAACCTGTTTCCAAACACTATCAAAAAGTAACTGGAATAGGAACGTAATGCGACGCCATTTGGATACTTTTACTATTAAATCGTAAACACGCCAAGAGTGGCTCTTACATTTATGAATATGCTTCATTATCTAACATTCATTGTCTAACAATAAATTCTCATCTATGCCCATTTACCAGTTTAATGGCACACACAATTACACCTTTCTATGTAAATCAATGGGAGGAAATACATTTTGTGGTAAACAATTAAAACCCAATAAACTGTTAACATTATCCACGCTATTTTTCCAAGAGTGGTCTATCTCAAAATTGATAGTGGAATAATTCAAATGGAAGACTAGAGTAGATTTTATAAAAAATTCGAAGGAAATTAATCAATTGCTTATTTAGTTCTCGATAGAAACTACTTATTCAAATTATCATATTTGACAACAGAAACTTGTTGGAAATTGCATGTTTTAACAATTTGGGACCATTAGATGGATTACAATTATCGCGTTATTTATTTATTATTAGTTACTAATTTGCAATAATGTGTTTAGCGGCATTTTCTTTTTCATTAATTCACATTGCATAAAGATGTAGAAAGATTCAAAAGGGATTATACAATATTCTAAATTTCATAATCATACTGTCAATTCAATAAGCACGTCCAAATCTTGTTAAAAATAATTAATTTTAAATATTGGAAAATAATATTGAGTAAAAGTCATTCAACCGGAAAACACCATCAAAGTTTTTTTTTCAAATTATAAATTCAGATTATATTTGTGTATACAGTCAGTCACTAACAAGACTACAAGATTGCGCCACTCATCCTACACACATCTCCATTCATACTTGGCTTAAAATACCTATGTACTTTCGTATGGTCGCCATTTCAAAGTAAAGTATTCAAGGAATACCATTTTATAAAATAAGCGATGGACTTTTGAAATCCGTAGGGTATGTGTATGGCTGTGTTGTTTTACATGTTTTATAAACAAATAAATAAAATCATTTTCTCAGTAGGGCAAACCCTCTTGTATCAAGGATCGGCAAAAAGAGGAGAGGATGTAAGCAATTTTAATAAACGTATAAAATACTTTTCGGCTGTTTTTAAACCTGAATTCTCTTCCAAGATGTTTAAAATATATCTGTGACCATAAAACATTTTGTGATTTTTGTTAACCAGTCAAAATAATCTACAAAAGCGCTATCAGAGTGTCAATTATAATTATTACTCTACGTTAAAAATAATAATATACGTAGGTACAAAGTTATGTGATCTACATTAAAAACATTATGATTTAAGTAAAAACTGTATATTTATTTGTTAGTAAAAGGATTCACTATTTAGAACACATTCGGAATTTATTCTACAGCAAACCAATCAATAATCATTAAGCTCGATAATTTTTCCATAAGTTTTACTATCTGTGTTTTACCAAATTTCTATATACCGTATGATTGATAATTATATCGTTAGAACTTATTTATTTATTTAAAACTGCTGAGGTTCCCGCTCAATTAGTTTAACGTCTTTTGGTGTATATTATAAAATATGGTAGTATTTAAATGTTGTTATACCTAATTATTAAGTTTATTTAACGATATTACAAAAAATGTACAGGCTAAAGTCAATGTAATAGTCTGTGTATCGTTGTCTAAAACTAACCAAGACTGCTAGTATCAAGTTGACTTAGTCAACTATAATGTCACAGAAATTCAAGAGAAAAACATTTAAATATGTAGAACAAAATCATTAAAACGTTAGCATCTGATGACACATATAAAAACAATTGGACACAATATACACGGATAATAACACAGCTATTTATATAACAGGTAATTTACAAACAGGCTTGTGAAACAATAGGACCGGTTTCTGATAAAGATTTTAGTAGTATTCTGCATCTTTTAGTGAAACTGTGCAAGCTATAAATTAAGCTATGAATGCTGATTTCCGTCTTAATTACAGCTACTCACTTTTAAAATGAAATTTATGTAGCACCTCATGCAACACCCAAATGTTTATGTTATTTAAAAACTATACGGAAAATTAAATGTTCCCAGGTCAAGGTCTTGCAACTAGACCTTCGGTGATATCTGATTGTCTATAAAGTAAATTTGATAATAATAAACAATTCTCACCATTAATATTCCTACTGGAGTAGTCTATAGCTGTAGTAGTGGAAGCCGCAGCCGAATGTAGTCCCAGGATAGCATCGATCGTGAAAGACTTCCCCGGAGTTACCGGTGGACTCGGACTCCCACTGTCGCTTCCAGAAGACGGCCCCATCAGCAGCAAACCTGGGTGGAAATGGCTCAAAGGTTTGTAACCCAGCAGCGGGTTCTGCATCATCTTGAACAACTCCGTCATCTCGGACTCCACGGTTCAAATCATCCAAACAAACACTCACTAAGTATTTTCCACTCAACTTACAATCATGTCCGAAATACACGTGATCACAATATACAATATACAAGTCCTTACACACGACTGTTTGAGTGCTGCAGGCTAAATGAGACAGCTATGAAGTAGGGTTGACAATCCCCGCGGAGGCCCCGCCCCTCGCCCCGCCCCCCCCCTCTTAATTATGTCCCCCCTCCACCTCAACAATGCAGCAACAATCTTAGGTTGTGGTCTTTCTGATGAACCCTTTCATAGTGACCATCTTCATCCTTCCTTCATCATTGTCTCCTTATCTACTGTTTACGGGTTGGACTTCACTTTGCCTTGGTTAGTAGATTTACCTCCTAAATGGGTCGTGTTGATTGTGTATAAAAATTAATTGTGTATTTAAAATAAAGGTATATGTATTTTAGGGTGATAGGCTCTAGCTTGAAACCATTTTGTACAATTTCTTCAAAGAGGGGGGGGGGGTGGCATTATTGCATGGATAGAGAGAGCCATTGGTGAATAGCAGGATTCGACCTGGCATTTCGTGGACAGAAGCCAGCGCTCTTCCACTATACCAGCTCACCCCCTTAGTCATACTATAGAGTGTATAAATAAACGGTATCAGCATTCTGACACATACTTTCTCCCATAAGTTTGTCAACAACCTTCATTATGTGTAAGCGGTGAGAGTAAATATACGGAAGTGGGATTTGTACAATTTTGTTCATAATTTAAAGGTCTATTACATACTAAAATTTTTATGGGGGGTTTTATGGGGAAATAACATAATTTACAATAACTTTTGAACCGTAATTTTTACAGAAATGGGATAAGTCTGATTTTTGCAAACACTTTATCGAGGAAAATAAGTAGAGTAGTATTTATTAGAAAATGTTTTGATGAATATATTGAAATGGCTCTGCCGTTGAAATAAATATATAAATAATGAAAAGTAAAAAGCAAAGTCAGAATGAGTGTATTTTCGTTTTACTTTACAATTTGGAAAGAGACAGTATGATTGTCATTCATATCAAGATAATTAGTTTGGTTTTAAAATGCTTAAGTATATCATATATCTACACCCTCCCTATCGTTAGCAATGCAAATTTAAAATGAATGTAAAAAAATATTCCAAAGCAATATTTGGCAAAACAGTGACAGTTTTTTGTTTTGTTTTACTTACACGGAATTTAAAATAATTAGGGTCTGATTATTGAATGAATAGTAAAGTATCCCATAAGTTAGGCCTATAATCTATGAAGTTTTAAAACATGATACATTTTTTGTTAGATTAAACTGTATGTTTATTAGTTTCTTTTAAAACATAACAAAGTAACTTTTGATTTTTATTACGTTTTTTTATTTGTTACATCTCTTGCCCCTGAAAACGTTGCGCGGCAAAACACGAATTACAGCCAAGTAGCTATATCACGTCTCTGCGCCGTCGTACTTTACTTGAACTTGCAATCAATTACCAATTTGACTGTACAATTTGAAATAACAATTACACATAGACAAACTTACTGTGATAACAAATCGATCCAAATTAAATTGATCTTGATGTGTTGGTCAATGATTCGCAACTCTCTAAAAAACACAAAAATTCTCCAAATACTCTAAACAATAACTACTGAACTAATGCGAATTTCTTTTAAGTTGTGTATGGTAGTTTGTTGTCATGACAATTTTTATTGTGGATTTTACATGACTTGTTCATTTTATGTCCCCAGAGGCCAAAAACACAATTCGTTCAAATTTTTATATATGTACAATAAAATATGTATATATACTTCCGTGAACGTAATAAGTTTAGTAATTTTTTTCCGATTTTGATGAAATTTGGTTTAAAGATGTAATGTGGGATAAACTTGAATGATTTCGCGAACCAGCATGATCGGTCCATGGGAACAGGGTTTTACGGGGGGTGTTATGGGGTAAAAATGGATTTTTCTCATTTTTGACCCTCAAAACACAAAATTTCCCAATTTCTCTCTAGGCCTTTTTTAAAGAGATTAAAAAATAAATAAATTTAGTATATCAAAAATGTTTTTGTACGGTTTTTGGTAACAGAGAAAATTAAAAAAATAATTTAATTTTAAAATTCCTATGTTATTCTTGTGTAGAATATTGTAAAATGGTGTCTTTTGCTTGTTTATGGATATTTTTTTTATCAAACTTGGCAAATTCATTTATTTTACACTAAGCTATTAATATTTTACAAATAACACACTTTAGTTTCTTTGTAGTAGCAAACCTAGGTACTCGTTAAACCTAATACTATTAAAATAGATTTAATTGCAAATCAATCCAGACAAAAAGAAATTCGCTTGGTCGGCAGGTTTGCTGCGGCGGGGATATTTTGTATAAATTCTGTGGCTTTTTGTTTATAAATTCAAACTACTTTTTAAGTGTTTGGATTGGGCGCAACATCTTCCCGTCGCGAAGCACGGATACAGAAGCTAGTTGTTACATAAATACCTGATTCCGCGTTTATGATCAATTTACAGTTTTTAAACTCAGATTTCATATAACAAAGTTTTCAGTGGCAAGAATTTTATTCATACATTGTAGATTAACTCACTGATAGTTTTTGTCCCAAGAGCCCTAACAAAAGCCCTGAAAAGCCAAAATACTGTTTTTAGGGTATTATTATACATATAAAAAGGCAACACTAAATACACTAAATGTTTATTTAGTGTTGCCCAGCATATAATGATAAAATTCTGCTACGTTCTCAATGTTTTAACTCAAATTTAGTATCAAAATAACGATACAGTATGACCATATAAATTTATTTACCAAATTAGAATTTTTTTCCAATTAATAAAATGTTGTTGGTATGAAAAGTATTTCTTTTATAAAAAGTATTTATTCCGTTACTACTTCAACGATGATTCAATTACATGTTGGCTTTTAGATATTATTGTAAAACTACAACGTACTAATTTTTTTGTAGATAATTCCAAAACCATTATTTATTGGATAGGAAAAATATCCACGACACATGCTTGCCACTTCAATTTAATCTTCAGTTGAGTTTTAGTTTCTGTATGCGTTACTTAAGATCAGTTAGAAATTATTTACCTCGTGTATTAGCCTACCTACATGTTTTTTTTTTCATTCAACTTTTTTCCAATTCATTCAACTTTTTTTTCAAAGTAGCCTAAACGAAACCAAAGCATGCACATAATCTCGAAGCTGTAATCATTCTCTGACATCGTTAATTTTCATTAAAATTTAATAGTTTTTGCACAAACGTTACAAAACTGTTATAAAACGTTTTTGATTGATTGACATAGCAGTAATTTGTTTCAACCATAGTTGTGTGGTAATTTGTATCTTGGTACTGCAATTCAATAGTAAAAACTATAATCTTGTGTCTATTATACTATTTTAAGGGCCAAGAAATGCTTAAAATTTTGTCGGACTGATGTAGTACGCAGACATATGTGAATTAATACATCTTGATGAGAAAATTTAAATCGGCGTCACGTTTACAAAAAAAAAATTAAAATGTTTAATTGAAAACTCTACAATACAAGTCCTTTTTGGACTGAATACCATTAATTCTGAATTCATATACTGTAAAACCTATTGGATCTACTACGAACATTATACAATCTTAAACATTTTAGGCACCAACCCCGTTTCTACGATGATGCCGCAACCCCTAGTTCCGAAGTAGTGTTAAAATACAACCCTAGACTCGTGCCTAGCGTCGTAGGAAAAAAAACAGTTTCTACTAATTATATACAGACGTTTCTAGTGACAAAAACAAATCGTGTACTCATGTCAACTATTTTTAATTTAAAAAAAAAAATGGTTCTCCAATATTATGTTGATTTCGAGAGTTTCCTTGAAAACATGACTTTATTTAATTGAACTCATACTTTTATAAGCTACAATGGTAATTGTAATAAAAATATTTGTTAAACTCATTACAGTATTAATCATCCCACGCACAGTATTCTGACTCTGAATCAATTAGAAAGCCAACGAGAAAATCAGCGTTGGACATATTCAGACTAATTCGAAGCCACAAATAAGTTTGCTCGGATCGAGTTATGCTTTCAATAAAAACATTAATTGCCGCCCTTACAACCCTTGTTCGGATTTGTAATAACATTTTTCGCCACAGAGGGTTGGTTATTGTGCTCATGACAAATGCCCCCCTTCCCTTTGGTCCCTCCCTTTCACCCCGTCGACCAATAGCGTGCTCCCTCACACACACGAGCGTTTACACACACGTAGGGACACATACTTACAACATCATTACAGGGGGTAAGTTGCGTCGAATTGAGCAATCTTGAGCGCGGTTAACCTTAGGCTATAACTATTGACGGTTGGATACTGAAGTAGATATATATTTGGACCAGTTGTAGCCTATTTGTTTTACCCCTGCTGCAGCAAGCCTGCAGACTAAGCGAATTTAATTTTGTCTTTTATTGGATTTTTACTAAAATAATATTCCCTTGAACATGTCATATTTAATTCCTATTTAAATAAGTGGTACTGTATTTCATCACTAGGGCGTAAAGAGACTCTTTTCGACGAGAGCACAAGTTTTACGATCGAGGCGAAGCCGAGGTTTGAAAATCGAGGGTTGAAAAGACACTTTCCCCGTGTGATGAACTATACTTTTATCGTCTTATTGGACCATTTTCAGCAAACAAAACAAAAATAGTTTTAATGTAAGGCTAACCTCTTAAAACGACTTCCAGCGTGTTTTCAATTTTCCTAACGCAAGCAACCAGCTGTTCAGTAGGGCTTGTTAGGTGATAAAATCATTTCGTCTATTACGAGTGTGTTAGTGTACGTTACATTCTCGTTATTTCAAACTGCTGACAAGAAAGCAATAAGAGTTGCAACCAATTTAAACAACCGATACATACTTCCGAAAACTGCAATTGCTTACAATTGAAATTTCTGAGTCAACAACAGGTGAATTTTACTCCGATACTTCCTAGGTCTAAAAAGGCTATTTACACCCTAGAGAGTAAAAGAGATACTTTAGACCCGCAACACATGCATTAAAACGGCTGGTTTTCTGCAGTATGACGA